AGAGCAAGATTCCCTGGCAGCATTACGTAGATGGCAAGAAGTGACTTGCTGTCTACAATTCCTGAATCATTAGAGCAACTTGTAAGTTATATCCCTAACCTTTGTCTTCTCTATATAGATTGTACGGTCTCTGGGGCAGGGACTGTCTCATTGTTTGTACAGTGCCTTGTACAGTACACAATGGGGTGCCAGTCTCAGTTGGCCACAGGTACTACTGTCATAACACGATAAATATGCATAACTAGTAATCCAGAGTGATATCAAGCTACTTTCCCCTAGCGGGATGGGTTTAGAATCTAAAGATATCCCCAATTTCCAGGTCTAATAATGGTGTTTTAGAACACTGTTTAAAGCATATCCGTCTAATGGCAATAAAGGAATCTCACAAGCACAAAGACACACTGGAGGGTCCCCACAGGTTTGACAGTGTTCTGACCACTTGAGACAACAATGCAAATATCTTTTTGCTCAAGCGCTTTATCATTGGGTTCTTCCTCCCGCTTTGGGCCAGAATCGACAGTCACATCTCTTGATAATCACAATCTCAGCCTATATTAGCATTGTAGGCTGAAATTTTTTTAACATGTTATTCTTGCAAGTCACAGATACAGGATCTTCACTGCTCTTGGAACTGTTCCTAGTCAGGTCCCTAGGACCTGATAATTCAGCCATCTCAGAAAAAGTCTTCTCTAATCACAATGCCTCCACCCCCTGTACCATTTGCTCACAATCACAGGAAGGCTTCCACATGACCATACCCAGCTGCTCAAAATGTTTACATAAGGGACAGTATAAACTCTTCTCTCTACTCCATTCCTAATACAGGGGAAGGAGGGTCCCCCCCAAAAAAATTATACATAAAGACTCTGTTTGCAGTTTTGTAGCCATGTCAGTTGTATGATATTAGAGATAAGGTGGGTAATATATTTTATTGGATGTTCTTTTGGTGAAAGACACAAGCTTTTGAGCTACACAGAGCTCTTTGTCAGGTCTGGAAAAGGTACTCAGAGTATGTCTACACTGCAATGTAAGCCCAAACTTGAACCTGAGCTCAAGGCAAACCCCCCTTCCACCTACACTGCAACTGTGCTACCCCAGGAGTCAAACGTAGGGTCCCAGGACCCTGCAGGGCTGGAGTGTCCGAGGTCAAGTCAAGCCTACTGCTTTGCAGTGTAGTCCCAGCCCCACTTGACTCACGTGCCAGGAGTCCTCCTGAAGTATCCCACAATTCCATGAGGCAGCTTTCTTAGTCCTCTCGATCCCAACAATCTGCAATCCACTCTTCTGGCTGGCATTGCTACTGTTTTACGTGGGATATTCTCTCTGTACACATTTCCCTCCAGGCCTAAGAGTTTCATGTCATTATATGGTAAAGACCATAAGAAGCTTTATCTGATTAAGGAGCTGAAGTCTCTTATGTAAGGATGAACATGAGTGAGAGGAGCTTCGTCTTCCCCTACGTGACCCTACCAAAGCATTCACCTGGCACCACTCACCCCAAGCTGCTAACCTGTGCTTGGAGGTCAGTGAATACCACATAGAGGGGGATGTGTGTCAGGCTCACAGAGCTCTTTACCCTAGATCCTATTTACAGACACAGGTAAGTTTATTAGTAAACAGTGTCAGGGAGCCAGGGCTGTCTGAGGATAGCCCCAGGTCCAGCTCTAATTCCAGACGCCTTAGAGCACATCAGAGCAAAGTTGAGGTCCTTTATATGCCCCCCCTCCACACACCCATGACCCCCAGCTTGTTCCAGAAGCCCCAGATCAATGGACACAAACATTTTAACCACTTTTTGACAGTATACATAACCTGACACTGATGGATTTGTACAGCTCCTACACCCACAACTGCTGGAGAGAAATAAACCTCCTGACTTCCTCAGCCACCTGGGCTGCCCTGAAACGAGGGCAGGGGCAAAGGGTAGAAACCCTGCTTGAGGCACCAGCCCTCAGCGTGCCCCAGGATGGGGCAGGGAAGGGATGGGAAGAGCCTTGGGCTGAGACAGACCTCAGCAGAGCTGGGGCAGGAGAAACCAGGGCTGCAGTGAAGGGCAAGGTAAAGAAGGTGGGTGGGAAGAAATCCAGGGCTGCGGTGAGTGGAGGGATAACAAGCATGCGGAGGGGTGGAGGGAGTTCAGGGCTACTGTGAGGATGGGATAACAAGCCGGGGAGGGGAAGGTCCATCCAGGGTTGCGATGAGGGGCAGGGTAAGAAGCTGGGGGAGTGGAGGGAGGAAAGGAATCCAGGGCTGCGGTGAGGGGAGGGATAACAAGCGGGGGGCAGGTAGGGGGTTCAGGGCTGCGGTGAGGGGCAGGCTAAGAAGCCAGGGGAGGGGAAAGGAATCCAGGGTTGCGGTGAGGGATAACAAGCCGGGGGGGGGGACAGTAGGGGGTTCAGGGCTACTGTGAGGACAGGATAACAAACCAGGGGAGGGGAAGGTCCATCCAGGGTTGCGATGAGGTATGTGATAAGATGCTGGGGGGGGGGGGGGCGGGGGAAGGTCCATCCACGGTCACGATGAGGGGGAGGGTAAGAAGCCGGGGGTGGGGGGAAGGTCCATCCACGGTCACGATGAGGGGGAGGGTAAGAAGCCGGGGGGAGGGAGAGTAGGGGGTTCAGGGCTACCGTAAGGATGGGATAACAAGCCGGGGGTGGGGAAGGTCCATCCAGGGTTGTGATGAGGGGCAGGGTAAGAAGCCGGGGGAGTGGAGGGGGGAAAGGAATCCAGGGCTGCGGTGAGGGACGGGGTAAGAAGCCGGGAATGGGGGAGGGGGGGGTTCAGGGCTCCGGTGAGGGACGGGGGGGTTCAGAGCTCCGGTGAGGGACGGGGGGGGGTCAGGGCTCCGGTGAGGGACGGGGGGGGGGGGTTCAGGGCTCCGGTGAGGGACGGGGGGGGGGGTTCAGGGCTCCGGTGAGGGACGGGGGGGGGGGGGTTCAGGGCTCCGGTGAGGGACGGGGTAAGAAGCCGGGGTGGGGAGGGCCGACCCCAGCCCCTGCCACTCGCGCCGTGACAGTGCGGCACGCTGACGCGCCCCGGGCGGGGCTGGCCAGTCGCTGCAGCCCCAGCCCCAGGCAGCCCCGCGCTTCTCGCCCGGAGCCGCCACAGCAAGTGCCCCCGGCTGCCGCCTCGCCTCGCCTCGCCACAGCCCCGCCGCGCGCTTCGGCGCCTGCTGCTCACCCCGCTCCAGGGCGCCCCGCAGCGCCGCGCGCTCCGCCTCGGTCCCGATCTCGCCGATCACGATCAGCAGCGCGTGCCTCCGCAGCCCCCAGCCGCGGCGCTCGCCCGACAGCCCGGGCGCCGATGTATCCATGGCAACCGCCCTGTCAATGATCTCCATGGCAACCTCTCGCCGCTACTGCAGCGTGAAGCAGGTGACTGGCGCGCGGCTCTTAAAGAGCCATCAGCCCCACGCTGATTGGCTGGGGTGGACACGTGAGCCAGAGATAATGAGGCCGAGCAGCGGGGGGCGGGGTCCTGTGGTCTCGCTGACTCCACCCCAGCCTACGTCCCCCTGCGTGCCGCACTCCGGCCGCCCCGCCCCCAGGCTGCCCGCGAGCTTGGTTCCCCACGCGGTCCGGCGGCGGGGGCGGGGGAGTTCCGCGCTGCCCCGGTCTCCAGAGCGAGGGCCGCGGCGCCATGGTCGGGTCGGGTCGGGGCAGCGCAGCGCCGGGCGGCGCGTTGCCTTTCCGGTCCCGGCGCGCGGGGCGGGAGCTGGCTGGCGGAAGGGCCCCGCACTGAGACCGCGGCCTGCGAGTCCCAGGCCGAGGCGTCCGTGGGCGAGCCAGGGTTCCCACGCTCCTGGCGTGCCCTGTGGCCCCTCCGAACAACCCTGCAAACGTCAGGAGAAACCATGGGGTTTAAAGAATGATTTGGGGGGTCTTTTATGTAGGTGTTTTTGAGGGTACATTCAGTTCACCTTTTTCCCAGCTTTTCTCTGCAAACAACATGGCTAGAAACTTGCTTTAATTTAAAAAAAAAAAAAAATTCCAATTCTCATGTAATCCCATGACTGCAGGAGATGGGGATTGTAGAAAACCCTTGCAATACTCACAGTACAATCGCAAGAGCTGGTACTACTCAGAGTGCACATTACCTGGGCATTATTATTTCAATTTGTTCTCTGATTTTGTCACTGAATTGTGAGTAATATGATTGGATTTTATTCCATTTAAGCAGGAACTTGTCCTTGTTAAGGAAGGACTAGAGTTAGGGTCTCTTAACTGTGAGGCATGTTATAATATCCCCTTGGTATCAGAAGGGCTGGGGGAGCCCTCAAAATATGGCTAAAATTTCTTCATTAAAGGCCACAGATTACTGTGTCCCATGCTGCAAGTGCTTAAAATGGAAGACCCAGGAGGCTAGAAACATGTTAGGGGGAAAAAAGGACCTTAATTCAGTACACAACTGTTGTATATGCAGAGACAACAAGGAGTCCTTGTGGCACCTTAGAGACTAACAAATTTATTTGGGCAGAAACTTTAGTGGGCTATAACCCACTTCATCAGATGCATGGAGTGGAAAATACAGTAGTTAGGTATAAATACACAGCACATGGAAAGATGGGAGTTGCTGTACTAAGTGGGGGAGGGTCAGTGCAAACAAGGCCAATTCAATTAGGGTGGATGTCACCCATTTCCAACACTTGACAAGAAGCGGTGTGGAGTTTATGCCCAAATAAATTTGTTAGTTAGTCTCTAAGGTGCCACAAGGACTTGTATTTGTTTTTGCTGACACAAACTAACACGGCTACTCCTCTGAAACTGTGCATATGATAGATAATGCATTCAACCTAGCCATGTCAATGGAGTACTTACATAGAATGTATGAGAGAGATTATCAAATAGCCCAAGCTCAGGGTATCAGCGCTTGGCATGCTGTGTAAAGGAAATTCCACCAATGGCCATTTTAGGATATAGAGTGTATGGATGATTATATCCAGTACAGTACTTGTGCTCTTCTGACAAAAGAGTAGAGATTTGGCCTGTGTTAATGCAGTTTAGTGAAAGAAGAGTCTGAGTCTAAGTCTAGTGATTGTAAAACCAATTTAAGTAATAATCAGCTGTGTTCCCTAAAAATGTCAGTTCCTGTAGTCTGCAAGATTCCTGTTGAGAGGAGTTACTGCTTGAGAAGCATGACAGAGAAATCTGGGTCTTTGCTTTCAGTGGGATTTTTTTTTCTTATAATCTGCCACGTCAACACTGAGGACACAAGAGAAAACTCAGAGTTTGGAAGGAAGAGTTAGCATTTTGGCAAGTGCATGTGAGTCTTGCTATCTATTGTGTCATGAGACACTAACAGCAACATAATCTGAAAAACAAAACAAAAAAATTGAATTTTCTCTGCTGTGTTTCCAAATGATTCAGGTTGCAGTTGCTGATGGTGTTAATAGGTTAGTTATTTTCCACACTAAGATCTTTAATAATCTGCATTAGGCTCCAGGAGATGAACTCAACCTGATGTGATAGAAATTTTTATATAGAAAACAGCTATGAAACCACAGTCTATGCACTTTATGGGAAATGAGCCTTATAAACAAAGGGAGGCAGTGGAGCAAAGGGATTGAATTTATTTTTCTGTGCTGTAATTTGCCAGACTGCATCAGTTCAGCTTGTCTCAAGTCATTGCACTGAGACAAGTAAATAGGTAAGTAAAGAGAGAAAACTTGCAGATACATTAGTCTTTCTGAAGAAATGTAAGCGATTCTACCTTGAAAGTGGGACTGTACATCAGTAAAGAGAATCACTATGATCAAAAGTTTTCCGAGATTTTCAGACCACATGATCCAAGTACCTTCTGTTTTCAGATGATTCATCTTAATACTTGAGGATTATTTTTTGACATCTCAGCGCTCCAGAGCTGCAGCTTTTCACTGCAGTGCAGAGAGGCTGCTCCAGCTGGCTCCCTACCAGAGGGGGAAAAAGGAACAGGAGACATACAAATTGGAGTGAAGACTAAAAACAATGCCCCGTCATGGTGCTGTTCCACAGAGACTAGAACCTCTAGGGAAGATTGCTTACGCTTACAAATGAGACTGCTTTAAAATGGACAATGCCCTTTCTGCCCTGCCAGCAGCATACAGATGGAATAACTGGTAATCTCTTGCTTTCTAGTATGAATATACATATAATAGAATCTGCATAGCAATTGCTGTCCAAATTTTTTACTTCAAAGAAGCTATGACAATCTAAATTATCTGAGGATCTGCCCCAAAGATTTTTTTACTATGTGATATTTATTGCTATCATATTATTATTTCAGAGGAACAGCCGTGTTAGTCTGTATTCGCAAAAAGAAAAGGAGTACTTGTGGCACCTTAGAGACTAACCAATTTATTTGAGCATGAGCTTTCGTGAGCCACAGCTCACTTCATCAGATGTGTACCGTGGAAACTGCAGCAGACTTTATATACACACAGAGAATATGAAACAATACCTCCTCCCACCCCACTGTCCTGCTGGTAATAGCTAGCACCAGCAGGAGAGTGAATTTGTGTGGGGGGGGGTGGAGGGTGAGAAAACCTGGATTTGTGCTGGAAATGGCCCACCTGCTGATCACTTTAGATAAGCTATTACCAGCAGGACAGTGGGGTGGGAGGAGGTATTGTTTCATATTCTCTGTGTGTATATAAAGTCTGCTGCAGTTTCCACGGTACACATCTGATGAAGTGAGCTGTGGCTCACGAAAGCTCATGCTCAAATAAATTGGTTAGTCTCTAAGGTGCCACAAGTACTCCTTTTCTTTTTGCATATTATTATTTATTTGTTTGTATTGTGGTAGCATCTAGCAGCCCCCGTCAGGAATCAGTGGCCCACTATGCTAGGGACTGTTATACGTATGTAATGAAAATATGATTCCTGCCCCAAAAAGGCTTTTACAATCAAAACGTATGATGGGAGACAACAGGTGAATACAACAGACAGTGGGAGTGCAAGATAACAGTGAGATATTTATGGTTAGCAGTAGTCATGAAAAGGGAATAAAGCAAATAGCCTCAAATCATAATAAAAAGGCTCTTGAATGTGTCAGAACAAAAGTAATCCCCAATATTTCAATTTTCCAGTCATGTAGCCCAGGACCTACTGCTACAGAATAATCAAACCGATCAATGTTCATTAAATGTCCACTCTTCCTAGCCAAAAGAAGAAATAAGAAATGTCCATATGAATAAAGTCCTCTTGGGAATTGGAGACCTATGAGAGCATCTAAAAATGTTAAAACATTTAACCAAGTAAAATAAGACATAATACCAGTGATAGCAACTGTTACATGTATAAGAAAAAAAGGTGAATTACTAATGTGACTTTTTTTCTCCGAATGCACGGCCTTGATAGATTTCCATGGTGAGATCACCTGCCCAAAAGAACCCATTTAAAAGCAACTGGGGGGAGGGATAGCTCAGTGGTTTGAGCATTGGCCTACTAAACCCAGGGTTGTGAGTTCAATCCTTGAGGGGGTCACTTAGGGATCTGGGGCAAAAATTGGAGATTGGTCCTGCTTTGAGCAGGGGGTTGGACTAGATGACCTCCTGAGGTCCCTTCCAGCCCTGAGATTCTATGAACTGGATGAGTGTCACAGGGTTCCATTTAAGGGTAAGCTTTGATCTAGCATATCCTCTGGCCCTTTAAGAGTAGGCATTCTGAGAACAGTAGACCTAGGGGGTCATGTCACTGCAGGTAGGAAGTAAGGTTTGCTGAGTAAGCAGGCAGAACTGAGTAAGAAGCAGCCTTTCTTTCAGAAGGAGAAACACAAGGGACAAAGCAAGATCTGGTGTAGGTCTCTCCAGTGAGGTAGAACTGAAAAGAGGAGTGCTAGTAACTGATTGGTGAAAGTTCTCAAGTACTATGGGTCTAGATAAGATCAGTTATGGGGCCTTTTGGAGAACAAGACTGGAAAAGGAGCTTGGAGTGGTTTAGAAGAGGACTTGTGGGGAAAGGCCAGGGAGAAGGTCTAAACCAAGGTGCATTGTAGGAAGTAGCCCAGTGAAGCAGGGCAGTTTTGAGATTAGTGCACACAGCTGCCGTATGATTTAGGGTTCCAGGGCAAGGCACCTCTTCATGACACCAGCTAGAGGATGAAGGCTGGTTTGATTCCTTTTATAAAAGAGTAGGAGAATCCCTGTAGGAGGGGGTGAAGAACTATGCATTTTTCTTTTATTCGGAACATTTGTTCACCTTAAGAAGGAAAGGACTTTTGATTAGTCCAGTGTGTGAGAGGAAACTAAGGAACAGATTACCTGACCCTGACCCAGGCAACCTGACTTTATCACAGAGTGCAAGTGGATGCCCTCTGCCCTGTTCCAGGATTCTAGGACACACAATATAAAAGGTTCACCCCAAATTGTCACTTAGCTCCTCTCTAACCCTGGGCATATCCTTTACGTTTCCAGGGTGAAGGGGAAGAGGGAACGTTAGTGTGAATCTATGGCGGCAACATATTTGGAGGACAAAAGTTACTTCAGTATGTAATATTTTCTTCATCATGTGACTGGTTCCATAAATGGTCTGATTTAAATAAAAATCCATGATCATAGGCAAGAATTTGGCATGATATTTTAGGACAACTTCATCCTTACAAAAATGTGTATGATGATCTGCCATCCAAGCCGGCAGTACTGGAACATTCTTAATAGACCATCAGATATTTTGTGCTGTCAGTCGTTCTCAACGGGGAGGGGTCCATGGGCCCTTTCAGAGGGGCCGCGGAGCCCTGCAGATGAAACCCAGTTCCTGAGCCCCAGTCCCTTTCCCCCCGACCCTTCTGCGGGGCTGAAGCCCCGAGCCCCAGTGCCTCCCTGCGGGGCTGCAGCCAGGAGCGGCGTGGGGCTGAAACCCCAAGCTGCCCCCCTCCCCCCACTGCAGCTGGGAGCAGTGTGGGGCTGAAACCCCGAGCTCCCCTCCTCCACCATAATTTGAAAAGGACTAACTTGTATGACAATAGAGAAGTGTCAGACACGAGATCTGCTGTCTTCATGAGGCTCCTGGAAGGAGACTCATTCTCTCTACCTGGGGTAAAGGGGTCAGAAGCACACACCAAAGGTCATACTTGTGTAGCAAGAATGATAAAAAAAGAAAGCGAAGAATCATAGCACTTAGAGATGGAAAAATTCTTTTTGACCCCATCTAATGAGGAATGAGAAAGTATGATGTCCAAACTGTCTTCATTCTATACAACATGCCTCCGTATCTTTTGGCCCAGAACAATCTCAAACCAAGATCTATTGACAGAGTGCAGCCAAGAGGATCTGAGCACCATCATTGCCAGGAGGCATTGGAGATGGATTGGTCATGTGCTTTGGATGGAAACTGATTCCATCACCAGAGTAGCAATAAGATGAACACCTGAAGGCAAGCGAAAACGAGGCCGCCCAAATACAACATGGTGAAGAGCTGTGAAAGCCGAGCTGAAAAACCTGGGGCACAGCTGGGGAACCATTGAAAGACTTGCCAGAAACAGACTGGAGTGGAGGAGCTTTGTCACTACCCTAAATGCCAGAGTTGTAATAGGAACATGATGATGATGAATTCTTCTTGACTTCACAGTTTCTAGAGCCAGGGCAAGAAGTCAGCAGGCGGATTCATAGGTGGAGTTGAGGGGTTATATGGTCAGAGTAACAGTCAAGGAAGTTGGTCTTTCCAAATGTATTTTGTGTTGGTTGAAAAAGGGTTATATTGGTGTCAGGAAAGCCAAGGAAGAGGATGCACTAGGCAAGACAGGAGATGATTAAGGCTTGGATGGGAGTTTTAGTTGTGAAGTCATCACAAATGTAGGAGAGAAAAAGAGAGCAAAAGTCAAACAAGGGAAAAGATAGGTGCTGGACTGAGCAGAGACAAGACAGTCTGACAGAGAAGTGGAGATACAGAGCAAATCAGCTAATTTGTAACCAGGACTGTAAATGTACTGACTTCTACAAGACCTTTAGGGAGGGGATTACTGGATGAGATGTAACACTCTTACCATTTCACCTTCATGAAGGTGAAAGTAAAGTAAAGTAAAACAGGTGTCATGTTTTGTCGTCTCCTCTAGTCTTGCTCAGAGTGTTGTAGGTGAACATGAAAACAGAGCAAATTTCTCGGTTTACCTTAGATATCAAACTCAGAACAGGAAGTAGTTTCCAAACAGAGATATCTTTTCAATGAAGAATGAATGTTGTACTCTACTTAATGTTCTCTTTCTTCATCTGCTGTTTAGTCACCTAATTTATACCCTGTCCCATAATCCTGTTGTTTTGCTCCAGGTTACAACTGGATTAACTTAATCTATAGGCAAGGGTGTGACATTCTGTACCTCAAAGCAGCACCCTGAAACCGTGATATTCACCATTGTCATATAATTTCATTTTATACAAAGTATGGCTTGTGAGATATTTTAAAAGTCTTGATCTATTGAACATTAATATCATGTTGGATTATATGTGAAGTTATTAAGTATTGTTATGTGTGTGTGTTACTGAAATATGTTGTGAGGTTGGGAATACCCACAACCAATCTTTCAGGTACAACAATGGAGTAGTCAGATGTACTGATCGCCCATTAAAGGGAATTCACTTTCCCAGCAGCCATCCCAGAGAGAGCACGTAGACAATGGAGATGCTTGACCAATGAGGGTGGATCCCCACCTCACAAGCATAGATCTTTCCTGCAATCTGAAAGAAACTATAAAAGAGGGGAAGTGACATCATCACTTGGCCTCACTCCCCCCATAACTGAACACCTGGAAACACAGCTGGAGGACAAAGACTTTGAACCGGGGAGGGTGGTCTCGGGCTGGGAGGCAATTCCAGCCTGTATATTGAAGATTTGCAACCTGTTTGTACCATCTGTCAGGGTGAGACACTGCTTAATTCAAATCCTGTTTAGTTTGTAGAATGCAGACTGTGAATTTATTTTTGTTTCTTAGGTAACAACTTTAATCTGTATGCTTGCTACTTATAATCACTTAAAATCTATCTTTCTGTAGTTAATAAATCTGTTTTATATTTTACTTAAAACAGTGTGTTTTGTTTGAAGTGCTTAGGAAATCTACTCAGGTTACAGAAGCCGGTGTATGTCCACTTTTTTCTGTAGAAGTGGCAAACTGCATAATGCTTTAAAATCAAGATTGGATGTTTTTCTGAAAGCTATGATCTAGAAATTATTTTGGGAAAGTTCTATGGCCCGTATTATAGAGGCGGTCAGACTAGATAATCACAATCATCACTTCTGGCCTTGGAATCTATGCAAGAAAGGTTTAAAGTAGGAAGTCCATGGGAACTTGTAAAGAGAGAGAACCTTACATCAGAATCTGTGTCTACAGGGCTAACTTTGTTTTAAAGGGCACAGGATTACTAGGAATTAAAGACTCAGGAAGTAGAGTTCCTTCTAACTTGAGGAGTTTTTAGTGGCAAAATGTTTACAGTGTTACAGAGGAATCATCAGGTCTCCCCAAAACTTTCAGGCAGTCATATGATGAGACTGAACCCTGATTGCCATCCTAGTAACCAGCAGAACAGCTTTAGGTTTTGATGCTGAAAATGATTAAATTTGATATTATTTAACTTTGACAGCATTTCCCAGTAGAAATGGTTGGAGCTGTGCTGCCATTTATATTGTGATTTCTTGGATGAGCTTGGGAGGGGGTCTATGGAGAGAGAAGCAAAGAGGAAAGGCTCTTTGTTCTGACAAACCACCCACTGCTCCTCACTGACCTCTTAGGCGATTTGTCAGGGCAGAGCTCCTCTTCCCTCTCCACTACTTTCTTATAAAAGGCCCTGTAAGATGCTCAGTGTCTCCTGTGAGATCCTGAACACACTTAGTTTCCATCTGTGTTAAGACCTAAGCACATATCTCTTAACAACCCCTCCCCCCCACCCAAAGCTACTGCATGTTCTCAGTATACAATTTTCAAAGTCTCTTAGCTTTGTAAAATAAAAACAATTATTTTTCAAACTAAGCAAAACCACTAATCCTCAATGAGGACTATATCCAGGCCAGGTTTCAACTTGGAAACATGGAAAGTGATTCTTTGGCTTGAAATTTTTAACGGAAGAAAACTATTTGTTCATTTTTCCACAATCAAAAAATGGTTGACACAATGTAACTTACGTTAAAATAAACAATTCACCTTCAGGCAGAGAACAAGCATAGAAAATATCTGATCCAAATGCATTGGAAAGCTACGAATATGCAAAAATGGAAGATTATAACTAAGTATTCTGCAACCTTAACTCTAATTGTTGCTAACAGCCCACCTGTTCAAAGGATCTCCACACACAGCTAGGAATATGGAGGAAAGTGCAGTTCCTTTGAGCAAGTGGGGGCTGTTAGCAACTGCTAGAGTTCAAGTTGCAAAATACTTGCTGTTGTTCTCTTCCTTTCATTTTGTCTTACTGCAGGTGTAAGGTGATGTGTCATCCCTGAACTAGAGCCTGATTAATTTTTTGGCATTGGGAAGGAAAGGAGGGACAGAGGTCAGGACTATTCGGACACTCAGGTCCTCCAGCGGCTCCAGGGGGACGAATACGCCCCCCCCCCCATCGCCAGGCCCTTCTCCACCACCTCCTGGGCGGAGGCCTCCAATACTAGGAAGATGACGACCTTTCCATACATTTTGGAGGTTGCCATGACGGCTGTGGGCCCCACCACGCCCGCCAACGCCCGCACGTAGGTTTCTACGTGGGGCGTAGTGGGCACCAGGAGGCAACGGACACCATGTTTCCTGGTCAAGCTGGGGAAGGGGCCCCAGCCGCTATAGATGCTAGCAGAGGCGGTGGTCGGGAAGCCGCCGCCACCTGGGTGTATGCCCTGGGGGCCGGGGCACCCACAGAGCTGGTGGAGGGAGCAACAGGGATGGATGCTGTGGCCGGTGGTGGGGCCGCAGCAATTGGGGCAGCCCCTGCCATGGAGGGCCTAGTCTTTTTGGCGGGGCCCTTCCCCTTCTTCCTGCCCTGGCCTTTCGTGCCAGCTGGGGGAATTGGAGGAGGCGAGGGACATGGCAGCAGCGGAGTTCACCCCGTTGCCTGCTGCTGCTGGTGCCCCAGCGGGGGCGATAGCAGGTGGTTTGGTAGCGGTGGTTGAGGTAGAGGCTGGGGGGGGCGATGGGGGGGCAGGCGGGGGAGGGGGCGGCGGGGTCCACCTGAGGGGTCCCACCCGTGTCCCCCGTCATAATGAGCAGGGAGAGAGGGGAAAACACCAGAGAGAGGAGGGGAAAGGGGAAGCAGGTCAACCACTCCTCCCCACTAGGCTGCTTAAGCCAGGTACACTAAGTCATTCCTGTGCTAGGCTCCAGCCAATCCACAACCCAGGAGCTGGTCTGGAGACTTTTAGGGTAGGTATATAAGCCTCACAGGAGGCACAGCAGAGCAGCTCACCCTGATTAATGTTACTTGAGGGCTGTGAGTTTGCTCCTGTCTGAGAATAGCAGTGGATGTGCCAAACCTTAGCCTGCTCCAGCTTTGGTCTCACTCTGGTCTTGTTCCAACTTCATACTGGACTCTTGATTCCAGCTGTGACCATTAGGAATGGCTGTCCTCATCATGGTTGCTGACTTGAAGGCTTGTAAGATGAATATTGTTAATTCTTCTCCAGTAAGACTGTCCAAATAAATTTATTTCTATTTAACTTACAACCTTAGATGCACATACATAGCATTTGGTATTACTGTATATGTTTTGATCACGTAATAAAAGACCCTATGGTAATATGCCCCACAGGACAGCTAAACTGTTGAGAATTCTGAATTTCCTAATGTTTGTGTGATGAAAATCTGACTTAAGGTTGCATTAACCTGTTTTTTGCATGTATGATAAACATGTGTTTATTAATCTATTTGTCATATTTATGGATTTACATATGCTGCAGTAATACAGACATAAACTTAAAAAATATTTTGTCTGAAGAACACTACACAAAAGTGAATTGGCTTGCATTACATATGCTATCAACTCCAACCTCCTCTCAGTATTCCACAGTTTTAAGAGCAGCACAGCATTTGACAGAGTTCATTAACTATTGGTAATCTGATCATATACTTGTAAGTATGGTAGCTTGATTCCACTGTAATTCAACATAATTTAAAAGCAAACTAAACAGCCCTTTAAATATATACATAATCCGATTAAAGTAATTTAAACTAAAAATGAGTGGCTTTAAAAACTAGAAATGAGAATATTTTATAACAAAATATTTTAAAAATTTCATGTTTTACTTTCCTTTCAGGACCTGGCTTCAGGAATCTGTGTTTCTCCTGCAAGAGTTGATGGCATCACTGACATCTAAAGCAGTGGTTCTCAACCAGAAAGTACACATAATCCTGGGGGTATGCAGAGGTCTTCCAGGGGGTACTGTGATGGGTTGGATCACAGAAACCCCTTTGGGGCTGCCAACTGATGTGCCAAGACTACTTCTGCCTCTGCTTTCCCTGCCAGCATGGGACTCCAGAACCCTGCCTGGTTGTGCCAGACATGCTTGCTGGCTACAAACACAGACCCAGGTCTGAACAACGTCTCACAAGGTGCAGGCTTAACTGAAAACAGCTTAAGAAGTGTTCCTGTCTCCACCACTCAGATGCCCAACTCCCAATGTGGTCCAAACCCCAAATAAATCCGTTTTACCCTATATAAAGCTTATACAGGGTAAACTCATAAATTGTTTGCCCTCTATAACACTGATAGAGAGAGATGCACAGCTGATCTCCTCCCCCAGGTATTAATACATACTCTGGGTTAATGAATAAGTAAAAAGTGATTTTATTAAATACAAAAAGTAGGATTTAAGTGGTTCCAAGTAATAACAGACAGAACAAAGTGAATTACCAAGCAAAATAAAATAAAACACACAAGCCTATGCCTAATACAGTAAGAAACTGAATACAGATAAAATCTCACCCTCAGAGATGTTCCAATAAGCCTCTTTTACAGACTAGCCTTCTTCTAGTCTGGGTTCAGCAATCACTCACACCCGTGTGGTTACTGTCCTTTGTTCCAGTTTCTTTTAGGTATCCTTTGGGGATGGAGAGGCTATCTCTTGAGCCAACTGAAGACAAAATGGAGGGGTCTCCCAGACATTTAAATAGACTTTCTCTTGTGGGTAGACACCCCTCCGTGTAGAATCCCAGCTACAAGATGGAGTTTGAGAGTCACATGGGTAAGTCACGTGTCCATGCATGACTCAGAACTTACAGGTAGCAGCCATTGTTCACATGCCCCACCCCCACTCCACCCCTTCCCCTGAGGACTGCAACAGGGGTAGGGCACCCTGCACGCACTGGGCAGCGGCGAATGGAGCGACCCGGCCCCAGCCCACTCCTCGCTGCTGGCTCCCAGCTGTGCTGCTAGTGAGTGCTGGGGGGAGGTTCCCTCTTGCCCCCCAAAGCTGGGACCCAGGGGAGCAAAGCAGAGCGGGCTGGGGCCGGGTCACTACACTTCCTGCTGCCCCGTGAGTGCAGGGTTGGGCCTGCCTTGCACTCACCGGGCTGCAGGAAGTGGAGCGACCCAGCCCCAACCCAGTCTGCTCTGCCGGCTCCTGCTGGGGGGCAGTTTTCCCCTGCCCCCCAACCCTGCTCTTGGCCCCCCCTCCGCGGAGGCCTGGGGCCAGCCCCCCCCATGGGGGGACTGCATAGGGCACCAAAATGTCTAGGAACAGCCCTGAGTACATCCAAAGCAGCAAACTTGCCAGTGAGTGGGGCCACTGGATAATCAAGGTGCTAAAGGAGAACTCAGGGAAGACAAGACAGTTGTTAGAGAAGCTAAATGAATTATTTGTATTAGTCTTTACTGCAGAGGATCTGGGGGAGGTACCCACACTCAAGCTTCTCTTTTTAGGTGGCAAATCTGTGGAATGGTCCCAGACTGAGGAGTCAATAGAGGAGGTAAATTAAATAGCAGCAAGTCACCAGGACCAGATGGCATTTACCCAAGAGTTTTGAAGGAACTCTTATATGAATTTGCAGAACTACTAATTGTGGTATGTTTCAGAGTAGCAGCCATGTTAGTCTGTATTCGCAAAAAGAAAAGGAGTCCTTGTGGCACCTTAGAGACTAACAAATTTATTTGAGCATAAGCTTTCGTGAGCTACAGCTCACTTCATCGAATGCATTCAGTGGAAAATACAGTGTGGAGATTTATATACATAGAGAACATGAAACAATGGGTGTTACCATACACACTGTAACAAGAGAGTGATCACTTAAGGGGAGCTATTACCAGTAGGAGAGCTGGGGGGGATGACGACGACGACGAACCTTTTGTAGTGATAATCAAGGTGGGCCATTTCCAGCAGTTGACAAGAACGTCTGAGGAACAGTGGGGAGTGGAGGGGTGGAATAAACTTGGGGAAATAGTTTTACTTTGTGCAATGACCCATCCACTCCCAGTCTCTATTCAAGCCTAGGTTAATTGTATCCAGTTTGCAAATTAATTCCAATTCAGCAGTCTCTTGTTGGAGTTTGGTTTTTTTTAAGTTTTTTTGTTGAAGAATTGCCGCTTTTAGGTCTGTAATCGATTAGAGTGACCAAAGAGATTGAAGTGTTCTCCAATTGGTTTTTGAATGTTATAATTCTTGACATCTGATTTGTGTCCATTTATTCTTTTACGTAGAGACTGTCCAGTGTGACCAATGTACATGGCAGGGGGCATTGCTGGCACATGATGGCATATATCACATTGGTAGATGTGCAGGTAACGAGCCTCTGATAGTGTGGCTGATGTGATTAGGTCTGTGTGATGCTTTTGCTGGGAACAGAAAAGGAATGGAGTCTTAGAATTTGGTAAATAATCTAGCTAGATATGCGTTAGATTCTGTTTTGTTTAAATGGCTGATAAAATAAGCTGTGCTGAATGGAATGTATATTCCTGTGTTTGTGTCTTTTTGTAATTTAAGGTTTTGCCTAGATGGATTCTCTATGTTTTGAATCTGATTACCCTGTAAGGTATTTACCATCTTGATTTTACAGAGGTGATTCTTTTACTTTTTTCTTCAATTAAAATTCTTCTTTTAAGAACCTGACTGCTTTTTCATTGTTAAGATCCAAGGGTTTGGGTCTGTGTTCACCTACGTAAATTGGTGAGGATTTTTATCAAGCCTTCCCCAGGAAAGGGGGTGTAGGGTTTGGGGAGGATTTGAGGGGGAATGACATTTCCAAGCGGGCTCTTTCCCTGTTATGTATTTGTTAGATGCTTGGTGGTGGCAGCAATAAAGTCCAAGGGCAAAAGGTAAAATAGTTTGTACCTTGGGGAAGTTTTAATCTAAGCTGGTAAAAATAAGCTTAGGGGGCTTTCATGCACCTCAGCAGGTTACATCAAAGAGGAGCTGCAGTGACTAGGCATGGGGATGCCTGTGCCTTTAAGGAAAAGCATTGGAATGCGTGTGCCTCTAAGAACCCAGCCCTGGGAAGCCCATGCTGAGAGGTGCTGTCGGTGGCAGGGGAAATAAAAAAGCCCCTCTGCTCCCCCCACCCTATTGTTTGCTAAGCACTGGTGCCTCAGTCCACCGGGGTAACTGTTACCCCCTCTGCCCCTGCCTGTGTCAGGGTTTTGCCCTCTGTCACCCTCTGGCAGCGCCTCACGCCTGGGCTTAACTCCGTCTCTTCCCCCCTCATTCCTGATTTTGCCTTCAGCCCTATCCTAACCCTGCTTCCAGCTGCTTGACTCCCCTTGACCGGTCAATTTTCACCCCCTGCTCAGACCCTGCCCCCCCCCCTCTGATTTGCCCCTTTGCCACCCCGTGAATAGCAGTCAGCAGACTCTTACCGCGAATAAGGGCAGAGTGAAGGGCAGTGGCTTCAGCAGATCTTACGGAGCATGCTCAGGTCATGTGCGCATGCTCAGTCCACCCGAAGTAGCCCATTGCTCCAGGGAGCAGTTTCCTGTAGTGCACCTGGCCCGGGGCTTGCGGGAGGCAGGCCCAGCCGCTCCCTGGGAGCGTGCACCGCGGGCGGCCCCGCCTCGCTTCCTCCGCAGCCGCCCCGGGCCTGTGCCCGTCCCGCCCGCCCGCAGCTGCTGGGGCCTGGTCGGCTCCCCGGCGTCGGAGCCCGAGGGGCGGGAGAGAAGCTCGGCGTTGCTGTGGTAACCACGCAGCCGTGCGTGGGGCGGGACGCGCTGCGGCGGCTCCCACCGGCGCGGCTGAAGCATGAGCGGCCGCGGGAAGCAGGCAAGCGGCGGGGCTGGCTGCGGCCCTGGCTGGGGGGCCGTGGGGCGGGGCGCGCGGCGCGGGGTCCCGACGTCCCGACACTGCGGGGGCCGCCCCGCTTTTAGGGGCGTCGCTTGAGGTAGGCCCTGTTGCCGCCGTGCTGATTGTCACACTTGCCCTCTGGGCACCCTGCCGGGGGGGTGAGAGCCGGAGGGGGGCTGTGAGAGGCGGGGGGCGACAGAGCAGGGGCCGCCCGAGCAGGGGCCGCCCGCGGGGGGCGACAGAGCAGGGGCCGCCGCGTGCGGGCCTAACCCAGGGCCAGACGCTTGCCCGGGGCTCAGCCCTGGTAACTGCCTCCCTTTTGTCCCGCCTCACCTTGCAGTGCCCGGGGGCAGGTGGCGCCCGGGCTCTGGGGAGGTGAGGGCGTCCGACGGGACGGGGCGGCTGTGCCGTGCCTGCAGGGAGTATCATGCAGGATGGGGAGCTGAGGGACTGGGCACCGGCCCTACACAAGGCGGGGCGTGAGAGCTAGAAGCTCTGGTTTGGGTGGGTGCCTCTGCGTGCTGGTATCTGTCTCCTGTTTCTGCCTAGGCACCAGGGGGAGACAGAATAACTTCACCAGTACCTGGAGCAAGTTCCAGCTGCACTGACCCCTTTGTCCTCTCTCTTTAGGGCAGTGGATGGACCCCAGCCAGAGCCAGCTAGATTTAGGCTTCTCTCAGCAGGACACTCCCTGCTTGATAGTTGAGGACTCCCAGCCAGAGAGTGCAGTGATCGAGGAAGACGCTGCTCATGGCTGCATCAGCCTGCTAGCCCTACGTCTTCCCAACTGCAAGAGCCCAGTATTGGTGAGTGGAAGCTCCTTTGAGGGAGGTAGGAAGGAAGTGAAATACAAGCGTCTATCCAGCAAGTATATATGTGTTTGCTTGGGCTGTGTGGGAGAAGTAAGCTCAGTTTAGGCTGAATTCTCTCCAGGTGCTTAATGAAGAACTGGAGATGTAGAAATCAGGTGCATGTGTTTTACAGGAGATGACCAGCCCTCAAGGTAGCAAACTGGCTGCTGGTGGTGGAGGAGGAGAAGACAGAGGCCTTGAGGAAAAACAGCTCACAGGTGAGGGAGCCATAAGTAACTTTACCTTTTATTTATCTCTGAGAAGTTAACATTCTCTGATTGCTCTAAAATTCATTCTCCTGCAATGCTTGTGTTGATGAGATATTTGGGGGTTGCTGGCTTTGGAGAGGATGGTACCAGGGCTTTGGAAATTATTGTGAAGAGTTGAGTATCAGGGCATGTGACCGTGAAAGGGGTGAGTGGGCTAAGCAGATATAACAGTGAGCTGTTCTTGTCAGAGCGCTGCTGACTTCCTCACTTCTCAGTGTCTGTCCCTATAGCCAGAAGTTTGCCTCTCTTCCATTCTAATGGCCTATTATGTTTTCAGAGCCCATGGACAGTTCTACCCATCAGGATGCGACAGGTTCGCTCAGCCAAGTTATTGATCGATTGCCTCAGCCTACCAGGAAGAACAGGTGGATAGAATATTCCTTGACTTTGTCCCTGCCCCCATCTCCAACTCCATTTCTGTTTGTCTTAGAGGGATTATCTTCGTGACGTTTCCCCCTTATGTGGTGGCATACCTGGAATGCCAGTGCTGCCGGGGTTAACTGATGTGTAACAGTACAATAGCAAATCAGTTCAGAATGCAGAAGAAAATCCTATTTGTGCAATTTAGCTCATTTCCTGGATATCTGTGTGATCCTCTGGGATGGTTCAGATGTACTGAGGAACAGCCCTGAATTCAAGGGACACTGATTTTTTTTTTTTTTTAAGATGCTGAGGGTGTCTGAGGGACCCACGTGTGAACAAAAATAAAAATAAACTTAAGGAAACAGCCTGAAGAAAAAACCCAGTGTGCTATGTTTCTGACTGTCCAGATCATCTCTTCTCTCCACTGCAGGGTTCTTGAGATGGTAGCAGCTGCTGCTGAGGAGGCAGGTGAAGATGCTGCACACTGCACTACCCACTTGCTGGGTGCTGAAGGTAATTCTTCTGCTCTAGAGCCTTCCGTGACTTCCTCAGAGCATTAAAATCTGCTTGGAGCTCCACTAGCATGTGTCTGCATTCATATAATTTTCCCCTTCAGCAGGCTCACTGTTTCCCATCAGATTAAGATAATATGAAGCAACTGTTAAGAAATCAACAATTTGCCTAGAGAGCTCATCCCCAAATACTTTAGGGCTTTAGAAATCAATACTGATTGTGTGCCGCGTGTTTGAAAACTACCAGTTTTCTACCCACCCATACACCCTCTCAGATGTCAGTGGAGTAATTCTTATCCTTGTGCTGGCTCAGGTCTTTAGGACAGGAAGGGGCTTAGGAGGGGCATGGAAGTAGCCAGATCATTAGAAAATAGTTGTTTTTTTTCCTAAAAGTTTGTTATGCTAGCAGTAAAGGAAACTTGATGTGATGGTTGTCATTAAATGTTAGCGTTTACCCACAAGTGCTACACTTGGAGGCTGAATTACCACAATTATTTCCTGGGATACTCTACACTACCTGATACCATTGTTTGGTAACGTGTTGGCAAATGATGGCTTTTTAATGTCAACCATTATACCGATTATGTTGTTGGGTTTTTTTAATTATCAAAGAGGGGCTGTGCAGCTTTTGTAGAGTACTGAGAGCAGCTGAGTTTCTGTCTCCGTGGGTAGTTGTTCATAGTTATAGTAGGCACTTTAATGCGTCCTCTGTCTGGGAACATGTCTGTGAGCTAGCTATTTTGTTTGTGTGCAATGGGTGTTAATTCTAATGGCAATTTATACATAAATTATTTTTTTCTTCATGGGTGTTTGGTGCTAGACTCTGGCACATCGCAGTTGGGTTTTGGAGCTCTGGAACTCTCACAAAGTCAGGACTTTGAGGGAGACTCAATATTGAGTGAAGAGGGCAGAGGTCACCAGCTTCAGCCATCAGGCACTGTCCCTACCTGTTCTAATCCCATGAGGAATGACCCTAATGAGGGTATGTAAATGGTCTTGTTCATAAAAACCTTTTCCTTAGATGGTAAATTTCTCTCTGCTTCCTTTTGAGTTGTAGATGGCATGTTTCCTCTGATACGAAGTGCAAGATCAGGAATGATATTAAAGCTGCCCAAAGCTTGAAAAGGAGACTTCTGACTTCCTTTTTTCCTTCGGGCTTGTTCCTTCACTGTTGTGGTGTTGCCCAAGTGTCAACATCTGTCTTTCTATGAGTGCCTCTTTTCTTAGCTAACTTCTAACAATCCAGAAAATCTGACACTGAATCTATTCTTTGCTACAGACCTCACAATCCCTTTCTAGTTTTCTCTATCAGTGGACCTTCTATATTGTAAATTCATGACAGGGTTGTGTTGATATCTGTGTTATGTGAAGTGCCAAACACTTGTTGATACTTGTCAGCACAGATTATTTAAACTGAGTAACAAATGTTTTCTGTGTCTCCTGCTAGAGCTGCACATAGTTAGGAGTGAAGCTCTGTCTGCTGGAGAAAGTTACACAGGTGCACAGTGCTGGCAAGAGAAGTCTGGAAGGTAAAACAACTGCCCTCTCTGTAGGTACCTTGGGTGGGGGCATGCAGAAGGAGGAAAGCTGAGAAAACAGCAAGGATTACTGGTTGTAACAATGTGCTGCAGGGCCCTCTTGGCTCCTGCCCCTTGGGCTGATTAAGACCAAGAGACCCTGGGTTCAGTAACCACTGGTGCAGTTTATTTACAAGCTGTGCTCCCACCACGTTTTCACCATTTCAGTAACTCTTTATTCTCTGCAGGCGGAAGGAAGGAGAGAGCTACCTCCCTGCTTCCACTACCTGCCTTTTCCCTTTCTTCCTGCTGCCCCCTGGTTTTTATACAGCCGCAGCCTAATTAGGCAGCAGCTGTCTCTGTTTCCCAAATTAGGGCCAGGTGGTCCAACCAGCTCCAATTCACCTCCCTTAATTGGAGCTGGAGTGACAGGGCTGGCTCAGCAGTTCTGGTTCAGTGACCTGTCACACTGCTTGAAAACTTCCTACAGTGGAAGTTGCTGAAAGGAATGTCTCAGTAATGGTGGCTGAGGAGAGCTCCGATCCTTTCCTGGCTGGGAAGGGGGGGTGGGGTGGAAATGGTGTAGGAGCATTCAAGGAAACATGACCTTTTTTTTTTTTTTTTAATGTGGCAATGCAATAGGCTAGAAGAAAATGTTAGTGTTTCATTTTTAACTTTAGAAAGCAATATATTTATTAAAGGCCATTTTGAAACCCACGTCACTGTCTGTCCCTATTTTCAGGGAATTGGCTGTGGTCTCTCAGGAGTCTAATGATACTCCCAGCAGGGACTCTGTTGGGTATTGGAGAATTTCACTGTTGTAAGTTTTATAATTATAAGTTGTTTAACCAAAAAAGTTAAGTTTTTATTAGGTTTCAGAGTAACAGCCTTGTTAGTCTGTATTCGCAAAAAGAAAAGGAGTACTTGTGGCACCTTAGAGACTAACCAATTTATTTGAGCATGAGCTTTCGTGAGCTGAGCTGTAGCTCACGAAAGCTCATGCTCAAATAAATTGGTTAGTCTCTAAGGTGCCACAAGTACTCCTTTTCTTTTTGCGAAGTTTTTATTAGTAACTCTTAATTATAAATCTTACAGCGGTTAAACTCTCCAGTTTCACTGTTAACTGGCAAAGTGTATTCTTTAGGTTCCATTTGCATTGCCCTGTTTTCATTAGGACAGGAAGCCGTCATCTAAGTAATAGGGCTGTCAAGTTGATTTAAAAAAAAAACAGAATACCATTTATATAAATATTTTTGTATGTTTTCCACTTTTTCAAATATATTGATTTCAATTACAACACAATACAAAACGTACAGTGCTCACTTTATATTTATTTTTTATTAATATTTGCATTGTAAAAATAAAAGAAATAGTATTTTTCAATTCACCTAATACAAATACCATAGTGCAATCTCTTTATTGTGAAAGTGCAACTTACAAATGTAGATTTTTTTTGTTGTTACATAACTGTTTTATTTTTGAGTGCAATGTAAAAGTTTAGAGCCTACAAATCCACTCAGTCCTCCTACTTGTTTGTCTGAGCAATTGGCTGAACAAGTTTGTTTACATTTGCAGGAGATAATACTGCCCGCTTCTTGTTTACAATGTCACCTGAAAGTGAGAACAGGCATTCACGTGGCACTGTTGTAGCCGACGTTGCAAGATATTTACGTGCCAGATGCGCTTAAGATTCATATGTCCCTTCAACAACCATTCCAGAGGACATGCATCCATGCTGATGAAGGGTTCTGCTCAATAAAGATCCAAAGCAGTGCAGACCGATGCATGTTCATTTTCATCATCTGAGTCAGATGTCACCAGCAGAAGGTTGATTTTCTTTTTTGGTGGTTCACGTTCTGTAGTTTCTGCACCGGAGTGTTGCTCTTTTAAGACTTTTGAAAGCTTGCTCCACACCCCGTCCCGCTCAGATTTTGGAAGGCACTTCAGATTCTTAAATCTTGGGTCAAGTGCTGTAGCTGTCTTTAGAAATCTCACATTGGTACCTTCTTTGCATTTTGTCAAATCTGTAGTGAAAGTGTTCTTAAAACGAACAACATGGTGAGTTATCATCCAAGACTTCTGCTATATATTTCATGTTATAGCATGCAGGTAAAATACAGAGCAGGAGACCTACAATTCTCCCCCAAGGAGTTCTGTCACAAATTTAATTGATGCATTATTTTTTTAACAAAAAGAAAAGGAGTACTTGTGGCACCTAAGAGACTAACCAATTTATTTGAGCATAAGCTTTTGTGAGCTACAGTTCACTTCATCAGATGCATATTGTGGAAAATACAGAAGATATTTTTATACGCACAAACCATGGAAAAAATGGGTGTTTATCACTACAAAAGGTTCCTCCCCCCCCAAACTACTCTCCTGCTGGTAATAACTTATCTAAAGTGATCGCTCTCCTTACAATGTGTATGATAATCAAGGTGGGCCATTTCCAGCACAAATCCAGGGTTTAACAAGAACGTCTGAGGAACGGGGGGAGGGGGGGGGAGGGAGGAATAAAGAAGGGGAAATAGGTTACTTTTTATAATGACTCAACCATTCCCAGTCTCTATTCAAGCCTAAGTTAATTGTATCCAATTTGCAAATGAATTCCAATTCAGCAGTCTCTCGTTGGAGTCTGTTTTCGAAGTTTTTTTGTTGAAGGATAGTCACTTGAGATCAGAAATCGAGTGACCAGAGAGATTGAAGTGTTCTCCGACTGGTTTTTGACTGTTATAATTCTTGACATCTGATTTGTGTCCATTTATTCTTTTGCATAGAGACTGTCCAGTTTGACCAATGTACATGGCAGAGGGGCATTGCTGGCACATGATGGCATATATCACATTGGTGGATGTGCAGGTGAACGAGCCTCTGATAGTGTGGCTGATGTTATTAGGCCCTGTGATGGTGTCCCCTGAATAGATATGTGGGCACAGTTGGCAACAGGCTTTGTTGCAAGGATAGGTTCCTGGGTTAGTGGTTGCTGGTGAGTGGTATGTGGTTGCTGGTGAGTGGTATGTGGTTGCTGGTGAGTGGTATGTGGTTGCTGGTGAGTGGTATGTGGTTGCTGGTGAGTGGTATGTGGTTGCTGGTGAGTATTTGCTTCAGGTTGGGGGGCTGTCTGTAGGCAAGGACTGGCCTGTCTTCCAAGATTTGTGAGAGTGTTGGGTCATCCTTCAGGGTAGGTTGTAGATCCTTGATAATGCATTGGAGGGGTTTTAGTTGGGGGCTGAAGGTGATGGCTAGTGGCGTTCTGTTATTTTCTTTGTTAGGCCTGTCCTGTAGTAAGTGACTTCTGGGAACTCTTCTGGCTCTATCAATCTGTTTCTTCACTTCCACAGGTGGGTATTGTAGTTGTAAGAATGCTTGATAGAGATCTTGTAGGCGTTTGTCTCTGTCTGAGGGGTTGGAGCAAATGTGGTTGTATCGCAGAGCTTGACTGTAGACGATGGATTGTGTGGTGTGGTCAGGGTGAAAGCTGGAGGCATGTAGGTAGGAATAGCGGTTAGTAGGTTTCCGGTATAGGGTGGTGGTTATGTGGCCATCGTTTATTATCACTGTAGTGTCCAGAAAGTGGATCTCTTGTGTGGACTGGACCAGGCTGAGGTTGATGGTGGGATGGAAATTGTTGAAATCATGGTGGAATTCCTCAAGGGCTTCTTTTCCATGGGTCCAGATGATGCAGATGTCATCAATATAGCGCAAGTAGAGTAGGGGCGTTAGGGGACGAGAGCTGAGGAAGCGTTGTTCTAAATCAGCCATAAAAATGTTGGCATACTGTGGGGCCATGCGGGTACCCATAGCGGTGCCGCTGACTTGAAGGTATACATTGTCCCCAAATGTAAAATAGTTATGGGTAAGGACAAAGTCACAAAGTTCAGCCACCAGGTTATCCGTGACGTTATCGGAGATAGTGTTCTTGATGGCTTGTAGTCCATCTTTGTGTGGAATGTTGGTGTAGAGGGCTTCTACATCCATAGTAGCCAGGATGGTGTCATCAGGAAGATCACCGATGGATTGTAGTTTCCTCAGGAAGTCAGTGGTGTCTCGAAGGTAGCTGGGAGTGCTGGTAGCGTAGGGCCTGAGGAGGGAGTCTACATAGCCAGACAATCCTGCTGTCAGGGTGCCAATGCCTGAGACGATGGGGCGCCCAGGATTTCCAGGTTTATGGATCTTGGGTAGCAGATAGAATATCCCAGGTCGGGATTCCAGGGGTGTGTCTGTGCGGATTTGATCTTGTGCTTTTTCAGGAAGTTTCTTGAGCAAATGCTGTAGTGTCTTTTGGTAACTCTCAGTGGAATCAGAGGGTAATGGCTTGTAGAAAGTGGTGTTGGAGAGCTGCCGAGAAGCCTCTTGTTCATATTCTGACCTATTCATAATGACAACAGCACCTCCTTTGTCAGCCTTTTTGATTATGATGTCAGAGTTGTTTCTGAGGCTGTGGATGGAATTGTGTTCTGTATGGCTGAGGTTGTGGGGCAAGTGATGCTGCTTTTCCATATTTTCAGCCCGTGCCCGTCGGCGGAAGCACTCTATGTAGAAGTCCAGTCTGCTGTCTCGACCTTCAGGAGGAGTCCACCTAGAATCCTTCTTTTTGTAGTGTTGGTAGAGAGGTCTCTGTGGATTAGTACATTGTTCAGAGGTGTGTTGGAAATATTCCTTGAGTCGGAGATGTCGAAAATAGGATTCTCGGTCACCACAGAACTGTATCATGTTTGTGGGGGTGGAGGGGCAGAAGGAGAGGCCCCGAGATAGGACAGCTGCTTCTGCTGGGCTAAGTGTATAGTTGGATAGGTTAACAATATTGCTGGGTGGGTTGAGGGAACCATTGCTGTGGCCCCTTGTGGCATGTAGTAGTTCAGAAAGTTTAGTGTCCTTTTTCTTTTGTAGAGAAGCAAAGTGTGTGTTGTAAATGGCTTGTCTAGTTTTAGTAAAGTCCAGCCATGAGGAAGTTTGTGTGGAAGGTTGTTTTTTATGAGAGTTTTTTATGATCACTTTAGATAAGCTGTTACCAGCAGGAGAGTAGTGTGTGTGTGTGTGGGGGGGGGAGAACCTTTTGTAGTGATAAACACCCATTTTTTCATGGTTTGTGTGTATAAAAACATCTTCTGTATTTTCCACAGTATGCATCCGATAAAGTGAGCTGTAGCTCATGAAAGCTTATGCTCAAATAAATTAGTTAGTCTCTAAGGTGCCACAAGTACTCCTTTTCTTTTTGCGAATACAGACTAACACGGCTGTTACTCTGAAACCTATTTTTTTAACGAGTGTCATCAGCATGGAAGCATGTCTTCTGGAATGGTGGCCACTTTGTATTGGTGTGGTGTAATGGTGGTGTACACTTTGTATTCTGTGTGGTAGTTGATATCAATATTTTTGAAAATGTAGAAAAACATCCAAAATATTTTAATAAATTTCAATTGGTATTCTATTGTTTAACAGTGTGATTAAAACTGAGATTAATTGCATGAGTTAACTGCAATTAATCACAGCCCTAATAAGTAATGTTTTAAAATTCTATTTAAAACCTGTTTTTGCAACTTTGTAATGAGCTGAAATCAGAATCTTGAGTTTACTTTATAATAAAAAGTGTTTAACTCTGCTTTAAATTCTACTTACCCCCACCCCATATTCACCTTGGGCAGGTGTATTTTGACATGGGTAAAAATATTTTATTTGTCCCTGCTATTGTGGTGAGGACGAGTGAGAAGATTTTTGTACCTGGGCTGGTAAATATTCATGATAGTTCTGCAACACTACTATAAATTGAATTTCCCAGGTCAGAGGTTATGTCTAGCTCTCCCAGAATTCCACAGCAACACAAAGAGACCAGCAGGATACAAATGTCTGTCTGTGATGTGCTTGAAAGTGGGTTGCAGGCTGAGAAGACACCTGATCCTGGTCTGCAGGAGTCAGAGATTTTGTCAACTCAGGAAGATATGTTTTCCCAGAGCCACACAACAGGTAAAAACAGACCAACTAATGCCAAAGTATCCATCCTAAGGGACAGTCACTGTTCTATTTTTTAGCTGGGGGCTATGCATCTGTCACAGGGTGACTGGCCCCTTTAAGAGGAAATAAGGTCCAGTGTAACTGGACTGATTATCTGCTGCCCAACTGGACTTGAGGGAAGGCACCTGGGGCTTATAAGCGTGGTTGTCTGCAGCTGCCTGGAAACACTGTAGGAGCAAGAAAGCTCCTATGAGGCCCTGAATCAGCAGGGGGAAGTCATCAGAGGGGGGGAAGTCCAGTGGAGAAGGCCAAACTCTAGGCAAGAGGTGCTGGGAGATCAGGAAGACCGATCCTCAGCGGGAAGGGCTATGCCCAGCTTGGGTTTGGGGCAAAAATATTGAACTGTAATGAGACGACAGATGCTCAGCCTAGCTGAAATTGGGATGAAGACTTTGTAGGTTTAACTTCTGTTTTGAAAGACTTTATACAAGATTTAAACTGGATCCCAGATGGCGAAATGTTTGAATATCTCGACTGTGTGGACTTTTTAAGGGACATTACTGGGCAGATGTGCCCTTTGACGGCATCTTACAGGGAAGCAGGTTACAGTGGGCAGAATGCTTTGGGTGTGTTTTGATTAAACGAATGTTTCTGTTCATGTGAAAGTACTCTGGAAAGCAAAACACAGCCTTCGCCTATGTGGGGAGCGTTCAGATGTTCTCTCGTTGTTCTGAAGTGAATCATAATAATGCCATTAGAATGGGTTGTTTGAGTATTCCTCACTTTTTCCTGCATGCGCTCCCCCCCCCCCCCCCCCAAAAAAAAAAAAAAAAAGCATGGCCGTAAAACTGCTAATTGTTTTTGTGACGCTAGAAAAAGCATGGGCATGTATTTTAAGCCTTGTCCATGTTGGGGAAACTTACCCCAAAAATTCCTGTTGGTTCAGCTGAACCGGCATTATAATTGGTACAAGTGCTAGTGTAAAGGCTTCAGCAGCCAGAATAATTTTTTACCATATTTCAGTTACACTTGCTTTTCAGTAAGTTTAGCAAAACTTGGCTGTATGAACAGGAATATACAGAGGAAGAATAGGGAGGTTGTGTATATGTAGCACTTATAAGACCACTACTGGAATATTGTGTCCCCTTCTTGTATCCATACTACAAAAGGATATTGAAAAACTGAAGAGGTTTCAGAAAAGAGTTACAAAAATGAATTGAGGTCTGTAAAACATGCCTTACCATGAGAGACTTAAGACTTTCTACTTAGTTATTGAAAAGAAGTTTAAAAAGGTGACTTGATCGTGGTTTAAAGGCCGGGTCAAAACAAAATTGCACTGGTTTAACTAACAGGTGTGATTTTTAAACAGCTTTAGTTAAATTGATATAACTTTGTTAAGTAGATTTTACATCCAGAAGGTTTATCTAACAAAAACAGTAAAAGCAGTGAGTTTTCTTCTTTGTTGTTGCCAGAGCCTTGTCTATACTTGTGCTCCCACCAATTCTAACCTTGATTTGGCTGAACTGGTATTGGAACCATTGAGAATTTTTTCCTACAATTCTTTAGTGTAAACACTTATAATCCAGTATGAGAGAGCAGGCCACTTTTGCCAGCCAGTAACAAGCCTTTTACCTTTTAGGGATATGACGCTTGCATTTCATGTGCCTTGGACCTGTGGTTCCAAAATCCATTTTTGTCTCACTGAGAATATTGGTCTTTGTCAAACTGGGAGGTAACTTTGCAGAAGTGAAAATCATCATCATGATTTTATCTGGATAACTTGCTTTATAATAATCCAGTCTGTTTCCTCTTGCTCCAAATAGCTTCAGAGAGTGACTGTACCATAACCAGGGTGGAAGTGGGAGGTTCCGTGGCATGCACCCCTGCTGGCACTCTGCAACTCCTGCATCTCTCTGTGCAGGGGTCCCTTGGTCAGGAGAGTCTTTCCACGTAAGCAAAAAAAACAAAACAACAACACAACCCCACAACACACAACCAACACCTCTAATATGCACTTGTCCTGCATGGGATGAAAGTCACTGAGACAAACAGCCCAGCACAGCAGGTGGGGTTAAATCTTCCAACATGGATTACATTGTAATTGTGGTTTTCTGCAAACTGAAGTCTTTGAAGCTTAATAGCTTATAAGGTATAATTCTGGCTTTTCACATGGGTTTCCATGGGGGGGGGAAGACACTGGGCTCATTGGTAACCTTTCAGCCTTCCTCAAGGAGAATAGGGGACCTTACAGGGTTTTCTGTTAGATGAGTGGGGACTTCATGCTGCTTGGGAGAGAATTACTCTTTTTTGCCTTTTGGTTCTATTCAGGTTATGCCAAGTTGCAGGATGTAGAGGAGTTGTAAAATCTGTTTGGTTTTAGCCTCCAAAGTGATAACTAAAAAATTAAGCTACATTATCTTCCATCAGTTTTCCTGAACTCCCAATAGCTTTCTTGGGGAAGGTGTCCCCAGCTCCATGCACACTTCAGGATCTCCTTGCTAGCTGTCTCTGAAATAAACGTCAGTGCAAAGCTGACTGAACGGGGATACTTCAGAGTGTCTGTCTACAGCTGAGAAGAGGGTTTAAAACTTGTTAGGCATTGAGGGGCTATTTGGGGAAAGGGGTGCCTACACAAAAGGAAATGTCTCCATTTTATTCAGAGGAGCCATACTTCTGATGCAAAAACACCTTGTTAATTTTCTGTGGCTAGGGTGGAGGTTTAAATTAGGAGAAACTGGGGGGAAGTTGACTGGTACTAAAGATGACTGTGGTCAGACAAAGTCCTCTGCTGATGATACAAAGATAACTCTTCTGGTAAAGGATAGAACAGATTGCTTCTTTTGACCTGCAAACTGGATCAACTTTCCCATTCCCTAGGATAGCCATTCATATCTTCACCAAGCACTGATCTCCTCTTCATCACTGAGTCCCCCACTCTGCCAATCACCTGGTCTCTCTCAAGATAGGATATCTGCCTGCTGCCCACCATCTTATGCTTCTGAGACTTCCAGACCATCAGTGTTAGTGACTTCTCTTCCACTCTCAGCTTGCTCCTCCCTGTTGTCTCTTCCCATGACATGGTTGTCGATTCTCTGCATTCTACACTCCCCTCCACACTTCTTTGCCCCTCTCTCCCATCACAAGGCCCACCCTAACTCTTCCCCATCATCTGCATCCTCCACTGCCACATTCTCACAGCAGAACATCTGGCAGTAGTTCAGTGAGCATGGTCACTTTCTCCACTACTGTTCTCTCCTCCTTCAATTCTGCTAACATCCTAGCCAGGCCCTCTGCTTCTCCACTCAGATTCCCTGTGTGCGCAGTCCCACTCACCTGTTCATCACCTTTTGACTCCTTTCTCAAACCTCTCCCCAGCCCCACTTCACTCTACACAGGATCTTTACTGATTCTCTTTTTTCCCCCCTCTCCCCCCCCGACAAAACTGCCAAATTTTGATGACTTCTAAGCCTTCCCTTCCTCCCCACCACTTTCCCCATTGCCCCTGTCACTCATGCAGGAGCTTTTCATCCTCTGGTGTTGTCCTCTAACCCTTCAGCCTACCCTCGTAACCCCACCCAGGCACTAATCTCCCTTTCACCCATTCTTCTCTTCACCCTTTGTCCTTATTATTCTGTCTTTCTTCTCCTTCTACTGTACAAGCTGCTTTAGTCTCTCCCACCTTTAGAACAAACAAAAAAACCTCCACATGGTTGACCCCCATGTAGTCCTGCAGCGACCGCCCCATCTCTTCTCCCCTTCACTTCTAAATTCATTGAACAGACTGTTTACAGCTGCTGTCTGGAGTTCCTCTCTTCAAATTCCATCCTTGACTATCTCCAATATGGCTTTTTTCTTTCTCCTGCACACCTCTATCATGTTTTCCTGGGCTACAGTTCAGAACTGGTACTCCATCCTCGTGATAGAAGGATACAAAACAATGAATGGTATGAATGATTCCCATTTATCTCTTCTCATAATAGAAGAAACAAGGGGACATAGTTAAACTCAAAGACAGCAGTTTAAAGCTGTTGAGAGGAAATTTGTGAACAATGTATAACTAATCTGTAAAACTCATTGACTTCAGTGCTATCTTAAGGCAAGATCTTAGTAAAAATCAGACTACGCACTAACATGAGGAGTAATGCACAGCTTCATTAGGTAGAATAAAAACGGTACAATGGACTTGAGAGGCTTGGGTTCAAGTACGTGCCCCACCACAGACTTCCTGTATGGCCTTGGGCAACTCATTTAGCCTGTCTGTGTCTGTTCCCCATCTGTACAATGGGATAACAGCATTTCCCTGTCACTGTGAGGTACTGTGAGGGTAAATTCATTAAACATTGTGAGGCATTCAGGTACTTTGATAATGGGGAGCAGATAAGTACCTGAGATGATAAATAAGGGAACATGCTTCAGAGCATAAGTCAACCACTAACTTCCTCTCCGGGCAGGTTTCTTCTTAACCGAAGGACGTTATTGCATAACTTTCTACCCCAGAGTTCCTTGCACTTTCCTCAGAAGTATCCAATATTGGCAATTATCTGAGACAAGATAGTGAATTAGAGGTCTCCTCCATTCTTGACAGTTTTTTTTTTCTGTATGTCAGTACAATGCTTGTTTTCACATCTGTCAAGTTATTTTAACTGCAGTCTGAATACGTAGGATTCTCCCTGCTTTTGGGCTGTGTTGTGATCTGTAGACTGTTGCTACATGGAAACTGAGCTGCGGGTCCCCTGCCTGTACTCTGCAGTCATTTGAGGGATTTAGGCTCATTGGCTTGATTGTGTTAGCTGGTGAAGCAGGCTCCCGTTGTGAAAGGCTGGAGCTACTCTTGTGGAGTATGAGAAATAACTAAAGCATTAAGTGATCTGTGATTTTATTTTTATTTATTTATTCCTCTGCAGTTATTCTTCAGGCCTAATTACTCCTTCTCCTGATGCCTTTAGATCCCATCCTCTTATCATCTCCAGTAGTCCCACAGAACAGGAAGAAACAAAAGGTAAAACTTCTGTGAATACTGATCTGGTTTTGGCTTTTCCCTATACCCACTCCTCCAGCCTGTGTGTCTAGCTTCCTCCAAACACTGCTTAGAATCATGTCATATGGTAATCTGCATAACAAGCGCCTCTCCTTCTCCCCCTATACAGCTCTTCCTCAAGAGTCTTCAAACTTGATTGATTCCTTAAGTGCACATGCAATGGGCCACTCCCGCATTGGCTTTCCCTGTACCTTTGGGAGAAGGTGATAGTACATGAAGAGTAGGGCATCATCAGCTAGTTTCCCCTTCTCTCTTGGTAAGATGGGGATGCACTGAACACGGGATGCCGAGGGCCAGTTGCCATTGTGCTTCCTTGGAGGAAAGGCATTCATGCAACAGGATAGGTACTGCAGGGCAGCAGGAATCCCTCTTCTCTTTATGTATAAATATATTTGGAGGGGCGGGGAGCCGACAACTACATTAAAGAATCACTGTACCTTAATTCAGACCCTTTGTGCATTATAATACCATCTTTAATTTTATAATCACATACTACTGTTTCCACAGGACCCCTGCCTCATTCAGTGCACGGAAAGGACAGTGCTCAATGAATGCGTAGCTATTTGATATTTTTTTTCACCCCCCCCAAATACTTGATATTTTCTTATCTTTCTCATTCAAAGTGTGACTCCAGGCCTTATTAAAACATACACTATCCAAACCCTGCACTGAATAGAAAATTATTAATTTCCTCATGGGTGTTGCTATGGTGTATTCATTGTAGCATCTGGGGGCTTCAGACATTATTTTCAGATGATTCTCTTACCAGTACCCATGCAAAGTCAGGTGGTATTATCCCTATTTTACAGATTAAGAACCAAGAAAGTGACGTTAAAGCCAAAGTTATCAAGTGTTCACTAATTCTGAGTGCCCAACTTGAGACGCTTAAAGCTTGATTTTTTTTTTTAATAGTACTTAGCATTTTTTAGCACCTTTCATATTCAAAGCACAGAACCCCTTGGACTTCACGTACAATTGAAAAGCTCAGCACTTTTGCAAATGTGGCCCCAGATGTATCAAGCTAGGCTCCCAGAAAATTAGGAACACACAATTAGTGACCACTGGTGGAAGGATTGATTTCAGTGATTTGCTCAGCATCTTGTAGGAGCTTTGTGGAAAAGGCAGAGGTAGAATCCAGTTCTCTAGGATGGCATTCTAATGCCTTAACCATTTGTGGTGGTCTTCACTCTGGAAGTGATGACTGGAAAAAGGCTAATGTAGTGCCCATCTTTAAAAAAGGGAAGGAGGAGGATCCTGGGAACTACAGGCCAGTCAGCCTCACCTCAGTCCCCAGAAAAATCATGGAGCAGGTCCTCAAGGAATCAATCCTGAAGCACTTAGAGGAGAGGAAAGTGATCAGGAACAGTCAGCATGGATTCACCAAGGGAAGGTCATGCCTGACTAATCTAATCGCCTTCTATGATGAGATTACTGGTTCTGTGGATGAAGGGAAAGCAGTGGATGTATTGTTTCTTGACTTTAGCAAAGCTTTTGACACGGTCTCCCACAGTATTCTTGTCAGCAAGTTAAAGTAGTATGGGCTGGATGAATGCACTATAAGGTGGGTAGAAAGTTGGCTAGATTGTCGGGCTCAACGGGTAGTGATCAATGGCTCCATGTCTAGATGGCAGCCGGTATCAAGTGGAGTGCCCCAAGGGTCGGTCCTGGGGCTGGTTTTGTTCAATATCTTCATAAATGATCTGGAGGATGGTGTGGATTGCACTCTCAGCAAATTTGCGGATGATACTAAACTAGGAGGAGTGGTAGATACGGTGGCAGGTAGGGATAGGATACAGAGGGACCTAGACAAATTGGAAGACTGGGCCAAAAGAAATCTGATGAGGTTCAACAAGGATAAGTGCAGGGTCCTGCACTTAGGATGGAAGAATCCAATGCACCGCTACAGACTAGGGACCGAATGGCTAGGCAGCAGTTCTGCAGAAAAGGACCTAGGGGTGACAGTGGACGAGAAGCTGGATGTGAGTCAGCAGTGTGCCCTTGTTGCCAAGAAGGCCAATGGCATTTTGGGATGTATAAGTAGGGGCATTGCCAGCAGATCGAGGGACGTGATAGTTCCCCTCTATTCGACATTGGTGAGGCCTTATCTGGAGTACTGTGTCCTACAGTTTTGGGCCCCACACTACAAGAAGGATGTGGAAAAATTGGAGAGAGTCCAGCGAAGGGCAACAGAAATGATTAGGGGTCTGGAACACATGATTTATGAGGAGAGGCTGAGGGAACTGGGATTGTTTAGTCTGCAGAAGAGAAGAAAGAGGGGGGATTTGATAGCTGCTTTCAGCTACCTGAGAGGTGGTTCCAAAGAGGATGGTTCTAGACTATTCTCAGTGGTAGAAGAGGACAGGACAAGAAGTAATGTTCTCAAGTTGCAGTGGGGGAGGTTTAGGTTGGATATTAGGAAAAACTTTTTCACTAGGAGGGTGGTGAAACACTGGAATGCATTACCTAGGGAGGTGGTAGAATCTCCTTCCTTAGAAGTTTTTAAGGTCAGGCTTGACAAAGCCCTGGCTGGGATGATTTAATTGGGGATTGGTCCTGTTTTGAGCAGGGGCTTGGACTAGATGACCTCTTGAGGTCCCTTCCAGCCCTGATATTTTATGATTCACTCGTGGGGAGCATTGCCTAGTAGTCAGGGGCTTAGGCCTTTGACTTGCAGAGGGGTTTTTAGGAGGGGAGCTAGGCCTTCGCACTCCAGCCCAAGACTCTGTAAGGGCAACAAAAGCATCTAATGCCCAGGAATGCCTTAAGGCTGCCTTCCCTGGGCCACTTCATATCATCCCTCTGTTGTTCACAGTCCGTACAGGAAAACGTGAAGGGGGTCAGTTCACTGCATGGCACCTCCTTGTGTCCGGGCATGGCAGCTTTCTCCCTTTTGGGGCATCAGCTGATTCCTCTCATGCCTTGGCCCTCTGGTCAGTTCAATTCTAAGTCTCTTCCTTTCAGGGGCAGTCTATAAACAAAACACAGAATCAATACACACAAGCTGGGTTAGTATGTGAGAGAGGGAAATGCCTCCCTCTCAGAGTTGATAAAAAGTAGGTCCTCCCTTCCCCTGGGGGGGAACCTTCAAGCAGCTGTGGATGGGAGATATCCTGCTTTCCCTTAGGAGCTGCAAGGTGTAGGTCCTCTCTCTTCCCTGGCCTGCCCACAGGTGAGCTGTTCTGCTCCTTTTAACTTCTCCAGTCTGTGCTGAGCTCAGAGAAGCTCCTGAGCCCCTTGTTGCCTGGTATATGGTTTGTATATGCCATCATACCATGAGACAGTCTTTATTCTTCCCGCAATCCCCTCTTTGTTCACCACACACCTTCCAAAGAAGCAGGGAACCTATAGATTCATAGATATTTAGGCCAGAAGGGACCATTATGATCATCTAGTCCGACCTCCCGCACAACGCAGGCCACAGAATTTCACCCACCACTCCTAAAAAAGACCTCACACCTATATCTGTGCTATTGAAGTCCTCAAATTGTAGTTTGAAGACCTCAAGGAGCAGAGAATCCTCCAGCAAGTGTCCCGTGCCCCATGCTACAGAGGAAGGCAAAAAACCTCCAGGGCCTTCCAATCTACCCTGGAGGAAAATTCCTTCCCGACCCCAAATATGGCGATCAGCTAAACCCTGAGCATATGGGCAAGATTCATCAGCCAGATACTACAGAAAATTCTTTCCCGGGTAACTTGGATCTTACCCCATCTAAAAACCCATCACAGGCCATTGGGCCTATTTACCATGAACATTTAATTACCAAAACCATGTTATCCCATCATACCATCTCCTCCATAAACTTATCGAGTTTAATCTTAAAGCAAGATAGATCTTTTGCCCCCACTACTTCCCTCGGAAGGCTATTCCAAAACTTCACTCCTCTGATGGTTAGAAACCTTCGTCTAATTTCTAATCTAAATTTCCTAGTGGCCAGTTTATATCCATTTGTTCTTGTACAGAAAACATCTTCATTTGTTACACAACCCTGTTTCATTCCTTAAGCACCATCCAGCTTGTGCACTGTAGGAGACAGGTTCTGTGGAAAAATAGTATGTGATTAAAGTCCGAATTATCATCATGGAGCCACAGAAGGGGCTGAATTATGTATGCAGAGGCAACCCTAATCTTACGCTTCCTAAGTTCTGAGTACATGTCTTTGCTACCTTAGTGTTCTTTTAACATTTTTTTAGGGCCCTACCAAATTCACAGTCCATTTTGGTCAATTTCACGGTCACAGGATTTTAAAAATAATAAATTTTATGATTTCAGCTATTTAAACCTGAAATTTCACAGTGCTGTAATTGAAGGGGTCCTGACCCAAAAAGGAGTTGCGGGGGGTCACAAGGTTATTGTAGGGGAGGTTGCGGTACTGCTGCCCTTACTTCTGCGCTGCTGATGATGGGGTGTTGCCTTCAGAGCTGGGCGCCCGGCCAACAGCCGCCACCGCTCTCTCTGGCAGCCCAGTTCTGAAGTCAGCGCAGAAGTAAGGGTGGCAATACCATGACCCACCTCTCCCTCAAATAATCTTGTGACTCTCCTCCTGCAACTACCTTTTGGATCCGGACCCCCAATTTGATACACTGATCTTCCCCAATGAAATCTCTATAGTATAGAGTAAAAGCCTACAAAAGACGAGATTTCATGGGGAGAGACCAGATTTCGTGGTCCATGATGTGTTTTTCATTACCATGAATTTGGTAGGGCCCTAAACATTTTTAATGCAGTTTCCCAAGGGGTGTGTGTGTATGTTTTGTTTTATTTCTTTTTTTCAAAGACAACTGAAAAAAGCACAAATTCAATCATACAGATCAATATTGATCCCCATATAGGTTGTTAGCAGGGTTGGGATCTTTAGCTCCACAACACAGACCTCTACAACTTGAGCTAACTGAATGAATAACTGGTAGCAGGAGTAGGCTGTTATCCTCCATGTAGACAATCCACTGGAAGGGGGAGAAGACGTGTTTTGCCGGTGAGTTCATGCCTATTTGCTTGACAGCAGAAGATTGTTTTGTCTCTGGAATCCTGGATTCATTTCCAGGCCCTGGAAGGAAATATTCTATAATGGTTGGATCCATCTATCCCTGTTTCTTTGCCCCCCTCTCCTTACTCCTTCACATTTTTTCATTGCTTCCTGCTTTGTCCTCAGTGCTGCCTGGGTGCTAATAGGAGACACTGAAAAGAAGGATGATCTAATGGTCATGGTGCTAGCCTAGGACTTGGGGGATCTGGGTTTATTCTCTGCTCTGAGCAAGTCATCTTGGGTAAAATTTTCAAAAAATGCCTAAGTCACTTTTGAAAATGGCATAGGTATGCGGGAGCCTAAATCCAGTTGACTCAGTAAGATTTAGACTTCAAGTCCTTTTGAAAATGGCACTTAGAGATTTTTGAAAATTTTACGCTTAGTCTCTCTCTCCCTCAGTTCCCCATATGTAAAATGGGGATAACACTTCCTTACTGCACAACAGCTGTGTGGGAGAATAATTACATTAAAATTTTTAGGTGCTTGGATATTAGGATAATGGGGACCGTAAAAGTGCCTACAATAGATTTTAAAAATCCTGTGGCTGGAAACTGAAGTTAGATAAATTCAGACTAGAAAAAAGGGACACTTTTTTTTTTTTTTTGGGTACTGTAATTAACCCTTGGAACAATTTCCCCAGGGCCGTGGTGGGTTCTCCTGCACTTGGAGTCTTTAGATCAAGATTGTATGTCTCTTTTCTAAAAGATCTGCTGCAGCCCAACCAGAAGTTATGGGCTGGATGCAAGAATCACCAAGTGCAATTCTCTGGCCTCTGTTATACCAGAGGTCAGAGTAGATGGTCATAATGGTGCCTTTTGGCTTGAAATCCGAGACAACACACAAGACACTTTCCCTGCTCCGTTTTGGTGCCCAGTGCCACAGCAGACCTCAGTTGCTGGGAAGAGCAATTGCAGGAAAAATTCTGCACAGCCCTGAAATAGCGTGCTCAGTTGCTCTGTGGTATGGTGCATGCATGGTTCAATTGACATTTAGGAGCTGGGTGGGGATGGAGCATGCTCAGTGTGGGAGAATAATGCTGCCAGACTCGGAACAACCTCTACTGAGCATGTGCAAAACAGATTTTATTTTATTTTCCACCAGGGGGTTATAACATGGGTACATTTAGGTTTATTTTCACAGAGATGGCAAAACGCACATCCCTGATACCAGGGCAAACCCTCTGGCAAATTTCAAGTCCCTTATTCAAAACAGAGATGTGGTAGAATTTCTCTAACAAAATGGTTGCATGAATTTTTTAACATGGGCAAAACATATTGTTTCCTAACCTGGTCCTAGGAAATGGCTGAACCACTTTTGCTGATTCTTCCCAAAAGAATTCAACTTGAGACAGATGCCTCATATGAAAAATTTCAACACAAACCATTAGTTTGGCAAAGCTATCAGCAACTAAACAGGATCTTCTAATGGAATATATTAACCATTAATTTTAAGGTGTTGCTTGCAGCTATAATTAACTTTTTAATTTCCTTCTTTTAAATCAGATGAGCAGATGGATATATCTGCTCCAGCAGAAGGAGGAGACCTACAGGAGAAGCAGAAAGGAGATGAGCCAGTGGACACTGGCAGTCCACCAGAACCTCATGTACTACCACAGGTTTCAACTCCTGTATCCCAGAGTGCCCCAGCCTTTGTTCCTGGATCCTTCCCTATACCATCACAACCAGAGTTTTCCCATGTGGGTATTGAAGTGGAATTTCCCCCCTTAGTTTCTTCCTGTACCGTGGTCCCTTAAGTTTTGGTACATGGTTGATTGTAGGGGATTGGTTTTTGGCTCATTCTCTGTACCCTGATGTGTGGGGTTCTCCTGCTTAGTTGGCTATAGAGATCTTCCTCATCCCCACTAGTCATTCTATGGTATTCTAATACACCCACCATGTACCATTGTATTCTTGGAAGAAAACTGCAATGTGATTTAAGAGACTCTTATCTGATTTATTCTTGCTGCCTGTCTTTTAGTCTGTCCTAGGAAACACGTGAGATTCTCTTTACAATGGCTTTGGAGGTCTCTTTCTGATTCTGATTTGCATATCCTATGTCTCAAACTACATCCTCAGGCTAGTCTTCTGCTGGGATATGTCGGTAAAATGGGGGCTGTGTGAGACCCCAGCACCACTCTTGATTATGGAGAGAGTGAAGCACTGATATTTTGTAGCACTGCATTTAAAACGTAGTCTTTTAAGGCCTGTAACTAATCATTGCAGTTTTCCTTTAAGAATTTCCTGTCTAATGTCATTTTGGTCTTTCCCTTGCACCTTTTGCTACAGGAAGTGAGGTATCCTTTTTGAATAGTGGACTCGTGTGGCTTTTTTATGACTTAAGAAGACTTCTTTTCATCCACCTAAGAGTAGGTGGGGGTGGGGTTTAAGGTTTTATTGGGAGAATTTAACCAAGACACACCAGTTAATAATGTCTCTTCCTGAGGAAAAGGTGACTTTGGTGCTCTGATATCGTGGTTGGTTGCTGCTGTAGAAAAACCTAATAGAGCACTTTGCATAGCTTCCTAGCACCCGGCTGACGACATAGCACCTTTCTTCCTTCCCTGTGTTTATGCTGGGGGGTGTGTCATGTGAGATCAAAGAGGTATCCATCATCGCACCTCTGACCGCACAGTCATCTCTTTTGAGATGATGATGAATGATGGTCACTTCCCTTCACAGCAGAAGGGCAGTTATTGCTCAGATAAGTGGAAAATAGTCCCCTTAAAACTTGAACAGGAGTACTTGTGGTACCTTAGAGACTAACAAATTTATTAGAGCATAAGCTTTCATGGACTACAGCCCACTTCGTCGGATGTTAGTCTCTAAGGTGCCACAAGTACTCCTGTTCTTCTTGCGGATACAGACTAACATGGCTGCTACTTTAAAACTTGAGTTTCTGGATGAATTTTCTGTGTCCCTGAACCAAGGTCCCTTACTAGGAGATAGGACTGCTTGTGAGCTGTTTGGGTGCCTGATGGATGGATCAGATGCCAAGCCTGTAGGCTAGAAGAATGTAAACTGTAGAGTTTTTTATTTTTCTTCTATTTTTATCCTTTTTAGGATATTTTTATTTCAACTCCGAGTCTGGAGGAGAAGCCTAGTGGAGAAGAGAAGAGTGGAGTTTTACCTAGTTCATGCTTGCCAGCAGATGTCTCTGAAACCACAGAGGCTCCACCAAAGATCCCCACAGGAGATCCTGAATTTTCCTGTAAGCTAGTACTCTCTGCAAGTGAATGCAGCCAGCCCACAAAGACAGAAGGCAACACAAGCTCTCTGAAAACCAACCAAGACAGTGAAAACACACAGGTTGAGATGGATTCTACACTGCAAGCTTCAGAGCTGAAACCCTGTTCCACAGAAAGTTACAGTGTACAACTGAGGCTGAGTGAGGACAGCCAAGCCCTGCTCAGTGAAAACTGTGAAAAGCCAAAAAGGGAGGCTGAGCGAGCTACAGGAGAACCTACCATTTGTCCTGTTGCTGAAGGTGTAGCAGCAGAAGGGTCTGTAGCACAGCTGGCTTGCATTGATCTCACATGTGATTCTGGAAGTCAGACAGCTGCCACTCTGTCTGTTCAGTCTGAGACTTCAGCACACACTCTGGGTCAAGAAGCATTGACTGAGATCAAGGAAAAGTTATCAGGAGAGGCGTCTGAATTTGAAGCAGTCCCTGAGACTCTATGTGAGGAACAAGGAGGAGAAAGGCAGGCAGAAGAGAAGCAGCTAAATGAAGAGGGATCCTCTGACCCTCTAACTCTGTCTCGGGGGCTGATTCTTGTAAGGGAAACACAGGAACACGAAGGCCAGGAAGTGATGGAAGTGGAATCCAGTGAGGCTTTTGGCAAAAACTCAGAAAAACTATGTGACCTGAGCCATGGGTTGGTACAGATGGATCCAGAGATCAGGAAAAAAGAAACCTCTAAAGATTCTAATGTGGTCGCTGAAGTTAAAAGCATGAAGGATCTGTCCCTGAAGCCTGCTCCAGAAGATGTGCCAAAGCTCAGTGAAGTTCCCCCTCAGCCTTTTGTGGGAGAGTCGTTGCAACAGCAGGATGGCTCATTGCCCCAAGTAAAGGTGGATGTTGCCCCAGGATTAGCATCATGTACCAAAAAGTGTGCAGGCAGTCCAGGGAATAGGAGTCAAGCTGAAGGTGACCTGGAATTGAAACAAGTTCAGAAGGATCAGCAGCCACCTCCAGCTCCTTTAGAGAGAGGGGATGAAGTGCCAGCAACACCGCAAGAGAGCCAGCAGCCACTTCTGATGACGTTGGAGAAGGCAGCAGATATGCCTGAAAAACCATTTAAAACGAGTAATCTGGAGCAGGAAGAGGAGAGGGCAGCTGACCAGTCCCCCTGTCCATCCAGTGGTAAGTGTATTTAATGTAGTAGTTCATCTCTGTCTAATGTGTGTTTGTAATGCAGAGGAACAGTTTTGTGTAATTCTCAAAGCTTCCCCAGTAGGGCTGATCCCATGCTATCTAAGGGGCATATTGTCTTGCAGTGATATCTAAGTGCAGAGCTGCTCCAGGACTTGATACTACTTGCATAACATGCATTTTTTCTCTTTCCTCTTCTTGGTTGTGCTGATACCATCCTCAACACTGAGGTAACTTCTGCGGGTTCCCATTTCCTTCTTTCCTAACCACTCCCTCACTCCATTATTCTGGGATTCTGCTGCCACACAACCTTGAAAACTCAGAACACTCTCACACTGGCAAATGCTCAAGGATTTTTAGGACTTAGTGCTTTTGTTCCTAGTGAAAAAATTAAGCATGGAAGGGAGGGGACTCCTGTGGGAGTCTCATAGACTTTAAGGTCAGAAGGGACCATCATGATCACCTAGTCCGACCTGTGGCCTGCCCGCTCCTGAAATAGACCCCTAACCTCTGGCTGAGTTACTGAAGTCCTCAAATTATGATTTATAGACTTCAAGTTTCAGATAATTCACCATTTGCACTAGTTTAAACCTGAAAGTGACCCATGCCCCAGAGAATGCGAAAAACCCCAGGGACTCAGCCAATCTGACCTGGGGGAAAATTCCTTCCCGACCCCAAATATGGCAGTCAGTCAGACCTTGAGCTTGTGGGAAAGATCCACCAGGCAGATACTTGGGAAAGAATTCTCTGTAATAACTCAGAGCCCTCCCCATTCATTGTCCCACCTCCAGCCTTTAGGGATTTTTGCTACTGGCAGTTGCTGATGGACCACATGCCATCATAGGTAGTCCCATCATTCCATCCCCTTCATAAACTTATCAAGCTCAGTCTAAAAGCCAGTTAGTCCTTTTACCCTAACTACTACCTTTGGAAGGCTGTTCCAGAACTTCCCTCCTCTGATGGTTAGAAACCTTCATCTAATTTCGATCTTAAACTTGTTGATGGTCAGTTTATAGCCATTTGTTCTTGTGTCCACATTGGCGCTTAACTTAAATAACTCCCTTTTCCTCCCTGCTATTTATCCCCTCAGATGTATTTATAGAGAGCAATCATATCTCCAGGCCTCTCTTTTATTGTTTTCATAATCTTCTCTTTGCATTTTCATGTTGAGTTTCTTGTTGGGAAGAAAGGAGTAACTTTGAGGTAGATGAGGCTCCCACTAAGACTAGATAGTGCGGGGGCTTGTAGGAGAGAGAGAATGGAATCACCATGGTTTGGAAAGTCTGTATCGCCAATACCAGCGCTGCTCCTGGATCCTCCATCTGCACCTGTGTTCAGACAGAGAGCCTGACCATGGATGCCTCTACCCAAGTCTTGATGTGGATTTGCAGAGGCTGTGGCCTTTATTTCCCCATCATAGAAAGCCAGGCTGGCGAGATCATGCAGTGTGGCAGGTGCCTAGTGGTAGGCTCTCTCAGGCATCTGGTGGAAGAGCCACAGGAGGAGGTGGCCAAGCTGAAGAGCATCCAGGCACATCAGGAACTCCTTGAAAATATGCATATGGAGACCTACAAGGTTAAGGAAGCAATCCAACTGGAGAGGACTTTGGAGGATAAAGCTAAAATTCAGAGGGATCTTGATAAAATTGGCGAACTGGGCTACATATGAAAAAATGAAATTCAACACAGACAAAAGGTGCTATACTTAGGGAGGAAAAACCAGATGCACAGATAGAGAATGGGGGACAACTGGTTTGGCAGCAGCACTGCTGAGAAGGATCTGGGAGTTGTGGTGGATCACAACCTTGACGTGAGTCAGCAATACAATGCTGTTGCAAAAAAAGCAAATACAGTTTTGGGTTGCATTAACAGGCGCATAGCATGCAAGTCATGGGAAATGATAATACCACTCTACTTGACGCTGGTTAGGCCTTAGCTGGAGTACTGTGTCCAGTTATGGTCACTGATGTATAGAAAGGATGTAGAGAAACTAGAAAAGATACAGAGGTGAATGACAAAGATGGCCAAAGGGATGGAATGCAAGCCATATGAGCAAAGGCTGAAGGACCTGGGTATGTTTAATTTGGAAAAGAGGAGATTAAGGGGAGGACATGATAGCGGTCTTCAAATACTTGAAAGGCTGCCATAAACACAATGGAGAAAAACTGTTTTCTCTTTTCTCAGAAGGCAGGACAAAAGGCAATGGGTTCAAACGGTTGATAACAGTTTTAGATTAAGTCTCAGGAAAAACTTCCTAACTGTAGGACCAGTAGGAGAATAGAACAAACTGCCTAGAGTAGTCATGGAAGCTTCTTTGTTGGAGGTTTTCAAAAAAATGCTGAATAGCCATCTGTCTTGGGTGGTTTAGACACAACAAATCCTGTATCTTGGCTGTGGGTTAGACTAGATGATACTTGTAGTCCCTTCTAGCCCTATGGTTCTAAGATTCATCCATGTGGGCACTTAGATGTCTGTGCATTGAATAAAGACTATAAATAATAAACAGGAAAAACTAGAAATACTAATTAATAATCATAATTATAACATAATTGGTATCAAAGAGACTTGATGGGATAATTCACATGACTGGAATATTGGTGTAGAAGGGTACAGCTTGTTCGAAACGGACAGGCAGGGAAAAATGAGAGGCGGGTTTGCCATGCATGTCAATGACTACATTTACACTGAGGTCAAGATTAGGGTGACCAGATGTCCTGATTTTATAGGGACAGTCGCAATATTTGGGGCTTTGTCTTATACAGGTGCCTATTACTCCCTATCCCCATCTCTATTTTTCACACTGGCTATTTGATTACCCTTGTCAAGATAGAAGTGGGAGGCAGACCTGTTGAAAGTCTCTGGGTAAGGATAAAAGGGGTAAAAAACCAAGAGTGATGACATGTTAGGGCAGTGGTTCTCAAACTATTGTACTGGTGACCCCTTTCACATAGCAAGCCTCTGAGTACGACCCCCCCTTTATAAATATATAAACAAGTGTTTTTAATTTAACACTATTATAAATGCTGGAGGCAAAGCGGGGTTTGGGGTGGAGGCTGACAGCTCGTGACCCCCCCATGTAATAACCTCGTGACCCCCTGAGGGATCCCGACCCCCAGTTTGAGAACCCCTGTATTAGGGGTTTACTATAGACCACCTAACTAGGAAGAAGAGTAGATGAGGGTTGTGGATTTTTTGTTTTGTTTTGTTTGCTTTTTAAAACTAATACAAAATCATCCAAAGCATAGGACTTGGTGGTGATGGGGGACTTGAAATACACAGATATCAGTTGGGAAAATAATACATCAGAGCACAGATTATCCAGCAAGTTCTTGGAAAACATTGGAAACAACTTTTTATTCCAGAACATGGAGAAAACAACTAGAGAAGAGGCTGTTTATAGATTTGATTCTGACATGTAGGGTCTCACTGGTTGAGAATTTGAAGATACAAGGTAGCTTGGGTGAAAGTGATCATTTTATGATCAAGTTCATGATTCTAAGGAATGGTAGGAGAGAAACCAGCAAAATAAAGACAATGGACTTCAAATTAGACTTTAGCAAACTGAGAGATTTGGTAGGCAAGATTCCGTGGGAAGCAAGTCTAAGGGAAAAAAAGAATTGGCAGTTTTTTAAAGAGAGATTATTGAGGGCACAAGAGCAAACTATCCTAAAGCATAGGAAGGATAACAAGTATGGTAAGAGATCGCTATGGCTTAACCAGAAGATCTTCAACAACCTGAACTTATTTAAAAAAAAAAAAAAAAAACAACACACAAAGTGGAAACTCGGTCAAATTATGAAGGATGAATATGAAAAAAGCCCCACAAGTATGTAGGGACAAAATTAGAAACGCCAAAGCACAAAATAAGATTCAACTACCTAGGGACATAAAGGGTAACAAGAGAACATCTTATAATTACATGAGAAGCAAGAGGAAGACTAAGGACATAGCAAGTACATTACTCAATGAGAAGGGAAAGATGGTAGCAGACAATTCAGCAATGGCCAGAGTGTTAAATGCCTGTTTTGCTTCAGTTTTCACCAAGAAGATTTGCAGTTGATTTGGACGACTAACATAGTGAACATTAATGTAAATAGGGTAGGATCTGGGGCTAAAATAAGGTCAGAACAAGTTAAGAATTATGCAGTGTTGTGCTGTGTTGGTCCCAGGATGTTACTACCTCACTCACGTTATGTCTCTGTCTTCTATTGGATCAACTTCTATTGGTGAAAGAGACAAGTTTTCAGGCTTACACAGAGTTCTTCTTCAGGTCTGGAAAATGTACTTAGTCTTTCCCTATTGCAGGGAGTTGATGGAGCTTTTCCCCACTGCCAGACCCTTTCTGTGTGGTGGGGGAATGCTCCAGCAGCTCCCCACTAGTGGTGCCTTTCCTTGCTGCCAGAGCCTTTCTGGGCAATGGGGAAAGGCTTCAGCAGTGGGGAGGCTGCAGGGCACTACATTGCTGAAAATAGACGCATAGATGGGGGAGGCACTCTTTGGGCATGTAGAGAGCCATGTAGGGTACATACCCTAAGGGTTCAGGCATGTCCTTACTCACCTAAGCAGTGCCTCATCTTCTACACTGCTGTTTATATCCGTACTAGGGGCATACAGTGTATGTACTCTACATGCCACCATAAGGAGTGTGTAGTGTAGACATACCCTTAGATATGTGTGCGTCAACTCTTTAAATGCCGTTGACTGCTCATTCATATCACTGAGTACTACTTCACTTAGTGCACTGTTAGGTCATTAAACAAGAACTCTGGGTTGCTATCTCTAAATTCTGCAGGAAATTTCCCTTTTAAAAAAATTGTTTCATTTAAAATACAAGAACAAACTTAGTAATTTCACTCATTTGAAAAGATATACAAGGGAAGTTTCATTAGAAGGCAGTAGTGGTAATCTTGATATTTCAGTGTTAAATCAAAAATGAGGTTTTTTGGGCTCTGGAGTTGTCTTTGCAGGATGGACAGTCTGAGAGGTTGTCGC